CACAAATGTTGTAAATATATAATGCCCCTATGTGATATATTAAGTTCATAACAATCCTACGAAAGAAAACTATCAATTATCACTAGTGCAAAAACAACGTATAACGTCCCGTTGAACGTCTAATCACGGAATAGCCAACATTAAAAATGACCGGTGACATTTTTGTAAATAAATGTAATTGTAGAACGTCGAAGCCTTTTAATTCGACGTTGCCAAAGAGTCATCCTTTTAAATTCTTTTTTCTTTTTTCTTTTTTCTTTTAAAGAACAAATAATATGTGGAAGTGTAAGTGTTTCGATATTATTTATCAGAAGCCAAAAAGTAACCCTTTTTAATTCTTTTTTTTTTCTTTTAAACCACATATAATACGTCCAATTTTTTGACGTATTATTTATCAGCCAAAACCCTCTTTTAATTTGAGCAGGAGATTGAAAATTCATTCACTTTATATTAACGCGCGAGACCGTCTTCTCTTCTCAAACTTTTCTCGAACGAAGTTTGACGACTATCACATTTAATCTTTCTTTCATTTGATACAAATGCATGTTATAATTAACTACTTTATGTATAATTCTCGTTTGTTTTGACCGTTGTTTTCTTGTTCTTATCCTTCATAGGCGCATTCTGTTGGTGGAAATACTTTATTCCGACGAACCCACCTTTTGATGGTTAGTTTTCGTTTTTGTTTTCGTTTTGAAAAACTTATTTGTTGAAATTGTTTGTTGTTGTTTTTTTGTTGAACTTTTTTGTTGTTGTTATTTGGTTGAACTTGTTTATTGTTTTTGTTTGATTGAATTTGTTTATTGTTTGCTATCGTTATTTGTTGTTGATATTATACTACACGTTCATAATTCATCTGAAATGTGGTGTTTTTCTGCTTTTTCAGGTCTCATATAGTTGTAAAAAATGATTACAATTAAATAAAAATAAATAAAAAAAATTGTTTAAGGTTGAATATTAACAAAATTTGATATTAATTTCGACGATATTTTTATACTAGTGTAGTAGAGTAATATATCTTGTTTAACACTATTCTTACACAAAATAATATTTTTGTTAGAGTCTAGTTTAGTTTTTTCCACGTCTAACACGAGTGCAATTCTTAGGGAAAAGAGAAGAGCATGCTTTCTCCCTGCGTTGAGATCACATGCATTGCGTCGCTTTGCTTATAGTACGGATCTAAAGGTTAAGTTTCTTGTGTCGCCACTGACTCATGATGAAAGGAACACATGATTGTGAATGACATAGCTCCTTCGATTCATTTCATCACTGTTTATTATTCATGGATAGAACGAAGGTTGAAGATAATGTTAATCAACACGAACCCAACACTCCGAAGAAAGCCACTTTGGTCCTCTCATCTTCCGGGAACGCTCTTCTGGTTTCCAACTCCAGCAAGTCCCTTTCGTCCTCCAAGCCCGTCGCTGGCCAGAAGAGGTACGTCAGGCAGGTGACGGGGCGCCACAACGACACCGAGCTCCACCTGGCGGCACGGCGAGGCGACTCGGCGGCCGTGAGGGAGATTATAGACGTGATCGATGCCCAGATGGTAAGGACTCAGAGCAGCTGCGATTTCGATGCGGAGGTTGCGGCCATAAGGTCTGCCATTGTGAATGATGTGAATGAATTGGGAGAGACGGCGTTGTTCATTGCCGCTGATAAAGGACACCTTGATGTGGTCCGAGATATTCTGTTATATTCTTCTAACGAAGGGATTTCGTCGAAGAATGATCTAGGGTTTGATGCCTTTCACATTGCTGCTAGCCGTGGTCACTTATGTATGTAATTAACAACCTCAACCTAATCAAATATTCACCTCTATTGTTAATTTTCTATCTTCTTCCCTGCCTCTGAAAAAAGTAATATTTTTACCATGTGACCAGAAATAACTAACAGCTAGAAGAGTATGCTCTTTTAGGACAAAACATGACTGCAAATTTTAGGTTGGAATTTGTGTTTTTACCTTGAAATTTGTGTAACAAATGTTTTTAGTTGGTGCTAATCTTTGTTGATGATTAGGACTAAAAACACTGAGAAAATACAATTTTTTTCTCATTAGGTAGGCTATATCTACCAAACCTTCAATAGCTAATGAGAACTAATTCCATTTTTGCAGCTATTGTTAAGCTGCTACTAGAATATGATCCGGGGCTTATGAAGACAGTTACCCGATCAAATGCAACTCCTCTTATATCTGCAGCCACTGGGGGGCATACGAGTGTTGTTGAACTTTTGCTGTCACGTGACCCTAATCAAATAGAATTATCTAGATCAAACGGAAAGAATGCACTTCATTTGTCTGCCCGCCAGGGACATGTTGATGTTGTAAATTTGTTGCTCGCGAAGGATAAACAACTTGCTAGAAGAACTGATAAGAAAGGCCAAACTGCACTGCACATGGCTGTGAAGGGTGTGAGTTGTGAAGCAGTGAAGAGCATTCTTCGAGCTGATGCAGCAATTGTCATGCTGCCAGATAAGTTTGGCAATACTGCATTGCACATAGCCACAAGGAAAAAGAGGGTAGAGGTTTGTACAATGCCTGAATAACTCGACAAGATATTGTTATTATTCTTAAAACATGTTTGAATATAACTTTATATATCAGTTGAAAATATTATTTACGTTCATGATATGTTTATTAATTATGATCTTTGATTATGTGATGTTGTAAAAATTGTTAGAATGATAATGCAGAGAGAATAAACTCCTATGATATGTCATAGTTTAACGCAGATAGTGAATGAGCTATTGCTTCTTCCAGACACGAACGTGAATGCCTTAACAAGGGACCACAAAACAGCTCTTGATATTGCTCAATCCCTTCCACCATCAGAAGAAATATTAGACATAAGAGGTTCCCTTGTTCTTAACGGGGCACTCAATGCGAACAATCTGAACCAGCCAAGGGATGAGCCCATCAGGAACACCGTGACGCAAATTAGAAATGACGTTCGCTCACAGCTCAAACAAACTCGCAAAACCAACATGAACGTTAACGGAATCGCCATGGAGCTACGGAAGTTGCAAAGAGCAGGTATCAACAATGCCACCAACACAGTAACGGTGGTTGCAGTTCTCTTTGCGGCGCTTGCATTTGCTGCCATTTTCAGTGTTCCCGGTGGAGATTTTGATACTGGGGCGGCAGTGATGGAAGGCACAATACCTTTTGAAGTCTTCTTTTTGTGCAATTCCGTTGCGCTTTTCACGTCACTGGCTGTTGTGGTAGTTCAGATCACCCTTGTGAGAGGGAGAACAAAGTCTGAGATGAGGGTCGTGAAGGTGATCAATAAGATGATGTGGCTAGCATCTATATGCACCACTGTTGCATTCATATCAGCGTCTTATATAGTACTTGGTAGGCATCACAAGTGGGCTGCAATACTTGTCACTGTTGTTGGGGGAGTTACAATGGTTGGTGTTCTTGGTGCTATGACGTACTATGTGCTCAAGAGTAAACGTTATCAAATAGGCAGGAAGAAGAACACATTCATGAGTAGATCAAACTCCGGCTCAGAAACTGAAGTAGAAGCAGCACAAATTTATGCCATTTGAAGAGAAGGTTCATGTTCTTCTTTATATGCTTTACTCTCTTAATTCTTAACTTAGTCCTTTTTAAGAATTTCAAAGCAGTTCTTCTGGAGAATTCTAATAGGGCTAGATTAGAAAAATGATTGTAGATCAGAAAATAAACATGTAATGCTTTTTGTTGGCAAATCTATTCCATTCCATTATCTTACTGTCTTCAATAAGGTTCTAATATATTCACCACTACTTTCTCTTGTTTTTATTAAATAGTTATTAAACATGAATATTATAATGAAAAGCAATAATAATTTGAAAGATAATGTCAACAAATAAATATAAACTTTCATATTAATTAAATAGCTAAATATTATTTTAAAAAATAACATTATTTCAAAATTTTGTTGGCTGAAATGAAGGTTCAATCTCTTCATTTTGAAACAAAATTACCATTTTCTATCCATTTCTTTAATTCTTTTTATATATAAAGTACACTTTTCAATACTATTAATTGATTTTGAAAACCTCAAATAAAACAAGTACATATTAGATTAATTATATTTCTTATCCAATTTATCTGCCTTTTAATCTTTGGCAAATTTTCACAAGACACTCATTGTTTTCATCCATAACAATTGACTGTCCCAAACGAACTATCTATGTTATTGATCATTCTCGTGTCATGAAATGAAAAGATTAATAAATATACATTTCCTTGCTATAAAATATAAAGGATTTTATTTTACATAAAGGCTAAATAAAATAAGAATGTGTTTGATTTGTGTGACTCTCATATGAACTTATTTTCATATCAATATATTTGAAAAATGAATGTTACAAAAAATTTGTTGGTAACAAAAATTATGAATGAACTTACTTACGATATGGAAAATATTAATATTTAAAGTGCATCCGTGATATGGAATAGTAACTATATTTATATATCCTGAAAACTTACTAAGGTCTTAAACATTTTAATATTTTTTCAAATATAAAAAAATAACGTTATACATCCTATAACATTATAAAAATATGGAAAACAAACAATCATCATAAAAGAGAGAAAAATATTAAAGTTAGTAATTCATTCACCTAAATTATTGAAATATAAAGCGTCATTCAATGAAAATGCAAAATAGAATATCAAAAAGTAAATTACAAAAAAAATGTTAATCATCATGAAAATACTGTATTTTATTTTCATATTGAATATTAATAAGTATATGCTGCTTTCTCCTGAGAACGTGTGAGTTGTGTTATAAATTAACTACTCAAACATGAGAAATCAAAAGAGATTTAAAGTGTAAGTACACTTCTTTTTATTTTTAGAGGAAATGTTTATAAGTTTATCCTAGAAAAATTGGTGGCAAAAAACGTGTAATTTTTTTTTTAAAAAGAAAACCACTAGCTTTTTGTGTTTGTTTTGCAATATAATATTTTTGTTGTTTTCTTAGAAATATGCTTTCCTTTTTCAGATAGCAAATTCTGAATTTGGTGGCTTCAAAATGACCCAGCCTCTCAAGTTCAATATTCCATCATTTCATCTTCAATGGACTCATCGTTTCAAGGCCCAAACAACCAAAACGACGACGTTTTCCTCGACGCTCTACCGCACTGCCCCTTCAACCATTGCCCCGCTACCGCTGATACTTCGCCGGAATCTTCCGCTGAGGCTTCCATTCTTTCCGACCTCAACCCACTCTCCCCAACTCCGGCGACCACAGTCCGCCGTCGTTCGACCCGACGTCATTCTCCGGCTAGGGAGCCCAAGAAGACCTGTTCCGACGACAGTTCGTCCACCGTTCCCGGAGAAAACCTTCGGAGCGATCGAAACCTCGAAACTCCGAAAGAAAACGAGGATTCCCCCGAGAGATGCGATTCGAATCAAAAGAAACTTCGTTCCTCTCCATCTCCAAGCGTTGCCAGCGAAGAGGGGAATGAGGAATCGACGTTAACCACCGCCGAGAATGACGACAGAACCACCGATTTCGCGGACTCGGCCGTGGTATTCGGTAATTCCCCTATTAACTTGCTCGATTATATAACTGGGTTGGTTATTAGAGCAATTGTGTTTCAAATCAATGCTTTTTTTGTGTTAGTTAAATGCCCAGTGTGGCTTACGGTACACGCTTTCATGTTTTTTATGGACCCTTTTGGAGCAATTAGAAAGGGGAAAGGATTGTTGGTGGATATTTTGGGTAGAGTGTTGTGTGGTGTTTGTGGGTGCATTGGTTCTTCAGCTCAGGACTGGTTAAAAGAGCACAAGTCTTTGTGGAATGTTGCATTTAGGTGTGGATGGGGATTGTTGTGGTCGGTCTATGTTTGTTGCATTTTGTTTGCTCTTTTCGTTTGTTCTCTAGTGGTGAGTGGGTTTTTCGTGAAGAGTTTGGTTGAGAAGCCTTTTCAGATGAGTCAGGGTTTTAACTTTGATTACACCAAGCAGAGTCCTTTTGCTTTGGTGCCTGTGATGTCTTGTGATAATGTTAGGAGCGGGCATGATTCTGGAACGAACGTTGCTGTTGTAAGTCGGATGGGTAGAAGGGTTATACCTGCTAATCAGAAGGTGCAGGTCGCTGTTTCATTAGTGGTGCCAGAGTCAGAATACAACACAAACCTTGGCATCTTTCAGGTACTTATCACTTATCTGATTCATTTTAATTAATCCAGAGAATTACATGAACTTCTTGCATGATGTTTTACTTGTTCTAGTATAAACGTGTAGTGTTAGTATGGGGATCTTTGATGGTTGTGGTTATAGTGTTTATACTTTTGAAGATAGTTCTGTAGCATTTGAGTGGCAATTGGGTGCTTGCTTTAATTCTAGATTATTTATTTATTTATTTATTTATTTATTTTTGGCTTTATACGAGTATATGGATTGGAGTTTGGACAGAATAAATTATTCCAACCGGGTGCTAGTGCTTTATGAATTAGTTTCTTTGAACAAGTTCAATAGCTTGTACTGTGGCTGTGTAGATCGGTGCTGCTCTTGGTCATCAAAAGATTTTTCAGCCATTCAACTTGCTTGGTAGGAGTTGAACTGGCTTAGAGAGTCCAATCCCTGGTGCCCTCATTGTTAAATTTTAATGGGTGACAACAGGGTAGAGAATTATCAGCACAATCCTCTTCTGCGATATATGCCAAGTGTGGTATTCACGTGAATGTCATGTACTTGTGTTAGAGATGACGACACTTCACTGCCCTTTACATAAAAGCTAATACTTATAACTCAAGTGATTCTTTTTGTCTTTCTACGTACTATATTTCCTATCATTGTGGTGTTTATGCTGTAAAATAGCAGTTACTTGCATTAATTAGGCAAAGAAGGAATCAGTTTTCTTTGATTGCGTGATCATGATTTCTTTAATAATTTCGTTTTGTTTAACATTGCCATTTCCTTTTTCTTGTATTGTTCTGGTTAAAAATCTGAACTGTGATGGTGATTGATGATAATTGCAGTTCATTCATACTTCATAGGTTCCAGTTGCTTACGAATTCTTCTTTGAATTGTCTATTTTGTAGATCAAGGTAGACTTCTTGTCCTTTGATGGCAAAACAATTTGGACTGCGACCCAACCTTGCATGTTAAAATTCATAAGCGAGCCTATCCGGCTAATGATGACATTCCTCAAGATTGTACCACTTGTCACTGGTTTTATATCAGAAACCCAGACACTGAATGTCAAGCTGAGAGGTTTCGTTGAAGGAAATGTACCTACTTCATGCTTAAAAGTAACACTAGAGCACCGAGCAGAATATCCACCTGGTGCTGGCATTCCTCAAATATATGATTCATCAGTTATTATTGAATCAGAACTTCCCTTAATCAAGAGAATCTTATGGCGTTGGAAGATGGGCATATTTGTATGGATCGCAATGATGGCTTTCATGATGGAGTTACTATTTGTTTTTGTGTGTTGCTTGCCTATAATTATTCCAAGAACCAGGCAAGGTAGTGGTTCTGCTCCTGTTACTGGTAATTAAAGTAATCTTCAGGCATCAAGTTGTGGAAACTAGTTTCTTCCAAAGGCATCGTGACCACAACAGAAGATTTTTCTTTTTCTCCAATAATATTACCTAGCTTTTCATGACATGTATATCTTGTTTAGTGAGGCATCCTAACTTCAATTCTTTTGTCCTAACCTGTACATGTTTACTTGTAATGTTACTTTGCCATATCTTTGTCCATATGAATTTTACCCATTGTCATTATCTTTTTATAGCTTATCAAGAATACTTAACTTTATTTGAAAAGAAAATCAGACAAAATGTATAGTAAAACTGAAAATAATATTTGATCATAGAATAATTGTTGGTTGTCAGATATTAAACTAAGTTAACCGTTTCTCCAATCAAAGAATATGCTTTTTTGTGGTTTGTGTGAAATGGGTACAAAAGCAGGGATAGTTTTTTAACTATGTATTGGTTCGTTTTGCCCTTGTCTCCAATTCGTTAAAAACAGGTTAGAAGAGTGGATTGCATAGTTAACTCATGGGTTATAAAAATCATGCTTCATCCTTTTTAGGGTGCACTGACTTGACCCTTAAAAATGAGAAAAAGGGAATTTTTTTTTTTTTATTTCTTATAACTAACAAAAATTAAAAAATTTAGTTAATGGATCTAAAGTATATTAATAATTTAATTTAATGTTAGATGAATTAGTGTTAGATGAATTAATTTATAAAATAAGTTAACAGTGATAATGAATAAATGTTATGCCTTTTAACACTAAAATACATAATAAAAACTTTAAGCTTAAACATTAATAATACTTATTAAATGTTTTGAAATTTTTAACAATTTTATAATAAAAATCTTTAAGATAAAAAATAATAATAAATTTATNGTTGGTGGATATTTTGGGTAGAGTGTTGTGTGGTGTTTGTGGGTGCATTGGTTCTTCAGCTCAGGACTGGTTAAAAGAGCACAAGTCTTTGTGGAATGTTGCATTTAGGTGTGGATGGGGATTGTTGTGGTCGGTCTATGTTTGTTGCATTTTGTTTGCTCTTTTCGTTTGTTCTCTAGTGGTGAGTGGGTTTTTCGTGAAGAGTTTGGTTGAGAAGCCTTTTCAGATGAGTCAGGGTTTTAACTTTGATTACACCAAGCAGAGTCCTTTTGCTTTGGTGCCTGTGATGTCTTGTGATAATGTTAGGAGCGGGCATGATTCTGGAACGAACGTTGCTGTTGTAAGTCGGATGGGTAGAAGGGTTATACCTGCTAATCAGAAGGTGCAGGTCGCTGTTTCATTAGTGGTGCCAGAGTCAGAATACAACACAAACCTTGGCATCTTTCAGGTACTTATCACTTATCTGATTCATTTTAATTAATCCAGAGAATTACATGAACTTCTTGCATGATGTTTTACTTGTTCTAGTATAAACGTGTAGTGTTAGTATGGGGATCTTTGATGGTTGTGGTTATAGTGTTTATACTTTTGAAGATAGTTCTGTAGCATTTGAGTGGCAATTGGGTGCTTGCTTTAATTCTAGATTATTTATTTATTTATTTATTTATTTATTTTTGGCTTTATACGAGTATATGGATTGGAGTTTGGACAGAATAAATTATTCCAACCGGGTGCTAGTGCTTTATGAATTAGTTTCTTTGAACAAGTTCAATAGCTTGTACTGTGGCTGTGTAGATCGGTGCTGCTCTTGGTCATCAAAAGATTTTTCAGCCATTCAACTTGCTTGGTAGGAGTTGAACTGGCTTAGAGAGTCCAATCCCTGGTGCCCTCATTGTTAAATTTTAATGGGTGACAACAGGGTAGAGAATTATCAGCACAATCCTCTTCTGCGATATATGCCAAGTGTGGTATTCACGTGAATGTCATGTACTTGTGTTAGAGATGACGACACTTCACTGCCCTTTACATAAAAGCTAATACTTATAACTCAAGTGATTCTTTTTGTCTTTCTACGTACTATATTTCCTATCATTGTGGTGTTTATGCTGTAAAATAGCAGTTACTTGCATTAATTAGGCAAAGAAGGAATCAGTTTTCTTTGATTGCGTGATCATGATTTCTTTAATAATTTCGTTTTGTTTAACATTGCCATTTCCTTTTTCTTGTATTGTTCTGGTTAAAAATCTGAACTGTGATGGTGATTGATGATAATTGCAGTTCATTCATACTTCATAGGTTCCAGTTGCTTACGAATTCTTCTTTGAATTGTCTATTTTGTAGATCAAGGTAGACTTCTTGTCCTTTGATGGCAAAACAATTTGGACTGCGACCCAACCTTGCATGTTAAAATTCATAAGCGAGCCTATCCGGCTAATGATGACATTCCTCAAGATTGTACCACTTGTCACTGGTTTTATATCAGAAACCCAGACACTGAATGTCAAGCTGAGAGGTTTCGTTGAAGGAAATGTACCTACTTCATGCTTAAAAGTAACACTAGAGCACCGAGCAGAATATCCACCTGGTGCTGGCATTCCTCAAATATATGATTCATCAGTTATTATTGAATCAGAACTTCCCTTAATCAAGAGAATCTTATGGCGTTGGAAGATGGGCATATTTGTATGGATCGCAATGATGGCTTTCATGATGGAGTTACTATTTGTTTTGGTGTGTTGCTTGCCTATAATTATTCCAAGAACCAGGCAAGGTAGTGGTTCTGCTCCTGTTACTGGTAATTAAAGTAATCTTCAGGCATCAAGTTGTGGAAACTAGTTTCTTCCAAAGGCATCGTGACCACAACAGAAGATTTTTCTTTTTCTCCAATAATATTACCTAGCTTTTCATGACATGTATATCTTGTTTAGTGAGGCATCCTAACTTCAATTCTTTTGTCCTAACCTGTACATGTTTACTTGTAATGTTACTTTGCCATATCTTTGTCCATATGAATTTTACCCATTGTCATTATCTTTTTATAGCTTATCAAGAATACTTAACTTTATTTGAAAAGAAAATCAGACAAAATGTATAGCAAAACTGAAAATAATATTTGATCATAGAATAATTGTTGGTTGTCAGATATTAAACTAAGTTAACCGTTTCTCCAATCAAAGAATATGCTTTTTTGTGGTTTGTGTGAAATGGGTACAAAAGCAGGGATAGTTTTTCAACTATGTATTGGTTCGTTTTGCCCTTGTCTCCAATTCGTTAAAAACAGGTTAGAAGAGTGGATTGCATAGTTAACTCATGGGTTATAAAAATCATGCTTCATCCTTTTTAGGGTGCACTGACTTGACCCTTAAAAATGAGAAAAAGGGAATTTTTTTTTTATTTTTATAACTAACAAAAATTAAAAAATTTAGTTAATGGATCTAAAGTATATTAATAATTTAATTTAATGTTAGATGAATTAGTGTTAGATGAATTAATTTATAAAATAAGTTAACAGTGATAATGAATAAATGTTATGCCTTTTAACACTAAAATACATAATAAAAACTTTAAGCTTAAACATTAATAATACTTATTAAATGTTTTGAAATTTTTAACAATTTTATAATAAAAATCTTTAAGATAAAAAATAATAATAAATTTATCTGTGAGAAAAAAAAATTATACAATAAAAGTATTTTTCGTATAAGTTGTAACATCTTATATTAGTGTAAAGAAACTATTAATATATAAATGAACATTTATGATATCAAGTGACGTAAGGACACGTATACAAAGTCCTTAAAATCTCCCAAAATGTAAGATGTAAAGTATCCAAATCCAAAACATACATGAAAGTTTTTCAAAAGATAAGATATAAAAGAGTTGGGAGGATATTAAGTATTTATATATAAATATATCTCAAAAAGACTTCAACTTCTTCTCTTGGAGCACCCAACACCAGAACCTGTGATGTTCTTTGACTTGGAACGCATCTAGCAGAAGGAGGAACCTAGTGGTTTTTAATGACATGTAGTGTAATAACATATATCAAATTCTATAAATATGTACTGAGTTAGATTTATTATTATAGATAAAACCCAAATTAACACATTGGTTATCATTAACACATCAAGCTATATTATTATAGACAAAACTCAAATTGACTACTAATAAAATTTTAGTTAAATATATTTTTTATCTTTTAACTTTTTATGAAAGCTAAAATTAGTCTATTTTTAAAATTTTGGATCAATTTAGTCATTCATTTTTAGAAATGCATTTTTAGAAATGCATGAATTTAATTTTTTTATCTAAATTTTAAAAAAATTATTTGATGTTTCAGACATGTTTTTTATTTAACTAAATTTTATTCAAATTCCATCATGAAGTGCAATTGAAACATCAAATAAACCTAACACAATTTGGCTGAAAGGACTAAATCCACAAATTTATAAACTTGAAAGATCAAATTAGATGAAAGTTTCAAAGAGAAACTAATTCCAATTTTCACTGTAAGTCAAAGAATAAAAAACATATTTAATCTATAAAATTTCACTATAATATAGTAAAAAATATTAAAGAAAAAAAATTAAGTAACTGGTCCTAGTTTCATATTTAATTTTACTGTTGATAAAGAAAGCATTAGTTTAGCATAATATTCATACGTGTAAAGAAAAATGATAGTCTTAATATATAAATTTTAATTTTGTCAATTTTATTTAAATTCTATGAATGGTTAAAACAATTTAAAATGTTGTTGATTTGTAGTAATTTTTATGTGTTTTTAAAAAGAAAAAGAAACTGTAATTATGTTTAGAAAACTTTTAACTCTTGTATTGTAATAAGACTGGATTTTTTTTATTGTGCTAAAAATAAAATATATCAATACTTTTGGTACTAAATTGATTTTTTATCATTTACTATATTCAAATTTGAAAACAAAATTCAAATAATGGTAATTTTATCATTTTGTAATATATATTGTCTTGAAATTGGTTTAGAAAATATTTATATATACATATTTTATTATATTTATAAAAAAATAATATATTATTAAATAAGGTTCATAGTATATAACTAGATAAACATATATCATAGGAATCCCAAGCAAGTCATAAAATCTAGCAACAGAGAGTTCATAAAATGAAAAACAAAAGGCAAACTTTTAATTTCTTTATATGAGTTTTACAACAACATAGACGTAAACCCATTAAGATTGATCTAGTAAGAAAGTTCAGTATATTCATAATAATAACCTAAACTTGATGAATTGTTACATTACATTGACACTGTAAAACGAAGAACAGAGAAAAAGGTATACAAGTATCTCCTCCCTTTACATGGTTCTGATACATGATCTTGAAGATAATTAAAATTGGTGAGAACTAAATCTGCAAAAGTTACTCCTTTAAACCACACCTGAAAATCATCTAGAGCCACCACTATGCCCTTTTCCTTTGAGGAAAGAGGCACTTTGGGTGATCTCACGCAGTGGCTTATCTGTGTAACGAATACTGTTATAAACCCATGCACCAACCACAGCCCCAGATGTTGGAGACACTAAATATATCCATATTCCTTTGAATTCGTTGTGCACTAATGCAGGGCCTAAGCTTCTTGCTGGGTTCATTGATGCTCCTGTGATTGGTCTGTCACATAACAAAATCATCAAATCATGTTATCAGTAATTACATAATAACATCATTTTCATTATGATATCACGCTAATGCACGAGATCATACTTTGACCTTTACTTTGCTTCCGAAAGGTGTAACATATTTGGCTGAATAAAGCATTTTTTTTAATGTGTGTGCATAGTAATATTCAATTAGCTTTGGATAAGATATGCAATAATACCCTGCAAACAACACATTCAACAGCACAGTGGCCCCAACGGCAATCCCAGCCAACTCACCGATCTGCAAGATTGGAAACAAATAAAATGAATAAATAAAGGCCACCGTGTCACACGGTCCAAGAGAGACAAATATTCAAATCTGGATTCTTGTTTAGTATAAGACGTATCTTATGATGCAAACTTGTAGCTTCTTCCAAATGATTCAAAACGCAACAAATATATTCAGACAACAAGTCCATTTTTTAATGGAGGTGATTAGCCAACCGTAATTGACTGCAAACTTGTTAATAAAAATGTTTTTGTTGCTGTTATCGAGAGCTAACTATTATGTATAACCAAACAAGAAGCAAAACAAAAATTAAGGAGGGAATAAAACTTCACCGCTCTGTTATCGGTGGCCACCCCAGATATGACAAACATAAGGAAAAACGTGATAATGAATTCAACCGCAAAAGCTTGGGCGTGAGTCCCAGATGGAAGTGTTCCTGAAAACTGGTTCTCATTGCCACTGAATATTAGTCTGAGAGTCCCACTTGCAAGTGTGGATCCAACAACCTGTGCTACTACATAAACTGGTACCTACAATGTTCAATCAAACATAAGTATAACCATGCCAATCATTTTAAGACGAATCGTGACAAGTAATTAACGCGTTTTTGTTTATCAATTATATATAAACTGGTGAAGGCAAATATGTATTTTAAGGTGAGATGTTATGTTTATACAACACTTAGTTTTCTCAATAATTCCGTATGACACATCAACAATTTTTCTTTTACTTGTCGTCTTATCTCTCTTTTAAAATTTAAGTTGCATTGAAATATTGTATAAAATAACCAAATTTCTCTTACAATACAATTTCCAATGATACTATCGTTTGACCTATATTTTCCCACCTACTTTAACTAATCGTGAATGAAGAAGAGAAAATAATGTGTTTGGTTCACCTGCTTCCAGGGAAACCTTTTGGTTGAGGCAAAGGCAATGGTGACAGCAGGATTGAAATGGGCACCAGAGATGTGGCCAACCGAGTAAACCAGCACCATCACGACTAGTCCCCAAACAATTGATATCCCAGGAAGTGTTACCACGTTGTCGTTGTTCTTGTTTACAACCACTGCAGCACACCCTGCGAATATCAAGAAATACGTGCCCACCACCTCAGCCACCAACTGTATCCATCAAAGAAACAAACACCATGTTGGCATTTCCAATCTCAGTGCTTTAAGTTCAACATGGTCAATAGATTAAGATTATGTTGATTAAAAGATATGCAGTGTAGTCTACAAAAAAAAAAAAAAAAACTAATTTACCCCTCTTTCTGCAGATTTAGGCAACGAAAAGAAATTATGACACACCTTTTGCAAGAAAGAAACATTGAGAAAGGAGCGTGAGTCTTCAGTTGTTCTAGAGACATCCTTGTTTACATCTAATACCACCTCGTGGTTTGTTGTTGAATCCTCGTCCATTGCAGAAAGAAAAATGAGGAAACACCAGATAATGAAATGCTTCGTACAGTGAATATGAAGATAGGAGAAAATGGAATGTGATCTCTATTTATTTATCAGATGACGCGGCTATGGTGATGAACATGATGCATAGTAATACTATTTATCTGAAAGAGCTTACCCAATAAATAGTAATACTATTTGTTTCCTTTTCTTCTTTGTTTTTGACTTATTTTGTTTCCTTTTCTTTTTGTTCTTTCTTTCTTAGTCAAAATAAAAAATTGATGCGTAATTAAGAATTATAAATGAATTTAACTAAAACGCATCCTCTTAATTAATGTTAAATTAGGTCTACCATTTTCTCACCTAAGAAACCAAATTATTAGAATTTTACATTAAACAAATGAGGAAATAAAGAATTAAATAAATCACAAATATTTTTAAGCCTGATATTGGAACAATTTTCTATATTGATCGCGGCTATATTTTTAATATGTGAACGCGAAGATTTCGAAGATTTATGTCTACCAAATTATTTAAGCACAGTAGATTCAATTATTTGATTAAAAGAATTAAAAATGGGCTAGAAGATTCAACTATTTACGCGGAGTATATATGTCAAAGTTTCACTCGGCTTCTTCTCATTGGCAAATTCAATATTTATTTTTTCACTAGTGACACTGTAAAACGAAGTAGAAAACCAATTAGAATAAATTGTTCTTCTCTAAAAGTAATTAATTTGTACTTATAACCTATAGGTAGCGTTAGACAGAAACAATTATTAAGTCTAATCTGTTTAATTATATTAAAACTTAACTTTTATTTTAGATAAATTTTAAATAAGTAAAGATTTCAATATCTTTGCAAATATATTTTTTTAGCTTTTTATTATTTAAAGAGAACAATTTTATTACTACCGTTTGCCGTCTCAGATTATATAGTAAAGAGGACCAACGGTAGATAAAGACTTCACGAGACCAATTTAATTTGAGTGTGTCAAAGTAAATTATTCTTGACCACATTTTGTTTGTGTTGTGTTGAAGACAAAATGTTCTTGGTATAGAATTTGATTTTTGAAGTTTGGGTGGATGTTTCGGAATTTTCGAAATGATAGACAGAAGTTGTGTTAGCAAAAGATAAAGTTAAAAGATAAAGGTATATGTAATTTTTTTATGATCATCATTACATATGATCACGTTTCTTCTTTTATAACGTTTAATTGTTTCCTACAATGATCTTAAGAGAGGAACAATCTTCTGCACAAATTAACTTATTGGGTTTAGGATATACTTGATTATATAAAACTAAGTCAAGGTTTTTAAAAGAAATTCTTAAAATAATTGATTATGATAAAAAATAATCTTTATCACAATTCAAGTAAAGTTTTAAAAAAATACTATTTTTGATAATAACCAATCAACTTGTGCAAACTTGTTTTTTTATATATTTTGAATATAATTAGTTGTTGTGATTTGTCTTCAATCTTATCAATATTAATAACGTTTTTAGACAAATTAGGTCATAATACATTTAAGTTATTGAGTATCAAACTCAATTATTTGTTATCTACTAGGTGTAGAGTACCAAACTCAAACACTATTTATCTGTCACCTATTGAGTATTGAGTGTCAAACTCAAATACTACTTATTTTTCATTTATCGGGTTTCAAGTATTAAAGTCAAGTACTGTTTACTTATTGTCTATCAGGTGTCAATTATTAGAATTAGATATTGTCTACCAAAACTAAGTACTACCTTTTAAGATTATGTGTTGTTTACGAGAGTTATGTGTCGTCCATTAGGGTTAATGATGAACTACCCAACCCCAAACTAGTTAGTTTGAATGACTTTACCCAACCACAAGTCAGTTTATTTGAATGACTTTACCCAGCCATAACCCGACCTGTTTGAATGTCTCTATCCGGCCACAAGTTGACCTGTCTGAATGCTTTTATCTGGCCACAAGCCAGTCAATTTTTGCTTTTACTTGGTCACAACCTGTCATTTATAGGAACAACTAATTATTTCTACTCGACCACAAATCTGCCTATGTGACTATTTCTACCCTACCACATGTTAGCCCGCCCTACTACCTTTCAAATTACCAATGCTAATAACTTATTATTTTCTAACTTAGCATAATCTAGATCAAACAATTGGCTCATTAGGTGAATTGGCCACCTATATAGGTTCACCTAGGCCTATATAGGTCCACCTAGACCTATACAGGTAAACCCACAAACATCATAATTACCCTATAAATAGTACAACAATTGTGGTAAATAATTTACGTTCATATTTACATCATTAACTATTATCTTATGCACCCAACTAACTTAGGTATTAGAGTATCTTTTGCGGGCACACCCTTCTTAGTCTTGAAGAAATGCGAACTTAGAACATATCATTTAAAGAGTAAGGAGTCTTTGTAATAAGGAGTTTGAAGAGTCTACACAGGGTGTGCTGGTGGACTCTGTAAAAACAATGGCACCCATCTTGGGATTGATAATGGAATATTTTATCCCTTAAGCCCTCCACTTGGGATGATCAATCATTCCCCATTAGAACTCCACTAGGGGCTTATGTTCCTACCATACTATATAGTCCTATATTGCTTATGATTCAACGTCAAGCATAATTCAAATACTCCTTCCACCCTTCGAGACGCCATTTAAGGGCAAAACCATTGATAGATGGGGCCCAAGCCCAATTATCTTATTTTAGCATTTCTTTTATTTTTATAAAATAGGTGTAAAATGTGTTAGGCATATGGTAGGTAGGTAGGACTTTTAGTCCTATATATAGACATGCCAACACATCTTGTGATTCACTTTTGAAAATAATGAATTGATTTTTCTGTAGAGTAAACTCCAGAAATCAGTTCCACCTTGAAAGTCAAGGCTAGGAATCCCAAAGGGTTTCCTCTAATCACCTTCCATTTCACATTTTCCATTTCCTTCAAATCCCATCAGATTCTCTTTCCTCCACCTAATCACCTCTCCACCAATCCGTTTGTGGCACATCCCGCATCAACCACATGCTCTCCCGAATTTGCGTCATCCTCGCACTACGTCTGCATTTCGTTCCACTGCCTTCACGAGACATCCTCATTCTCGCAACACTATATCTCAAGAGGCTAAAACCCTATTTTCGACCTCTGCTAGGGTTCTTCATTACTCACCCAGTTTTTCCCCATTTTGGTCGTTTGAACCACTGATTATCTTCATCCCTACCGGTTAAATTTCTCCCTCCACTGATTTCCCCGATGCGTTACTTCCTTCTCCCTGTTCCACCGATTCTTCGAATCAATCTAAGGTTTTCATCGTTTGTTATCAGTTTTCCTCCAATTAACCTATTTTACTCATTGGATCTTCTTTTCCATCGTTTATCTTGTCTCCTACCACCAAATCTTCAAACTCTACCAAATAGAACTTTGAACCTAGGGTTCTTAGTGTGTTCCTCTTCCATTGTGCTATCTTGTTGATGAATGAACGTGTCGCTCCTGATACAAGTTGTTCTTTCGCTGCCTCATCTGCTTCTTTGTTTCATTTTCGCTGCGATCTTCTTCAGAGGAAGCTTCGAGGAGGTATAAATCGTGTTTGTGACGCTACAATCAACTTCTTCCTCGGACCTCCGTCTATCAACCATGACAGAGTTCTATACTCCAAAGTAAAATATACCTTGGATATACTGTGATTGACTTTAATGATGTCACTCAACGGACTCAGGATCAGAACAATGGTGCCCACCATAAGATCAAGGTATAAACTGTGAAGTACATGATGCTTAGGAGAAGTAAGATGACAAGCACAATAGAAGTTGGAAATCCCTCTCGTGAGATGATCGTGCTAATGGCAGTGCAAAAGGACTTTCTCGATGGTTCTCGACCTTGTTCGATCTCTCTAGCTTTCGATTGTGTTTGGCCTCTCTAGCTTTCAACTTTGTTCAACCTTGTTTGGCTTTCAACTTTGTTAGGCCTTGACAATCTTAGCCTTGTTCAGTCTCAACTGCTCTTCACTTTGTTCGGCCTCGACGATATTAAGGTCCTGTTCTTTTGAGTGGATTTGAGGGAGTGGATTTGAGGGGATTTGAGAGGATTTGAAGATAAATTTTTTTGTCGTTTATTTGAGTTAATTTTTATGTAAATGAGAGTGAATTTTTAAATAAAATTTGTGAGAATTTGTATAGAATTGTATTGACGTGACAAATTAAAAAAATTTATTTCCAAATTCACTCTCATTTTCCTCCAAATTCACTCAAATAAATGACAAAAAAATTTATCTTCAAATCCCCTCAAATCCACTCAAAAGAACAAGACCTAAGCCTTGTTCGCCTTGATGGTAATAAACATGGGTTAATGATATATATGTTAAAAGATAATTTTTAATTAAAAAATATTAGTACAACATTTATACAAATATTTGGTCTTAATTTAGAGAAAGATAATATTGCTCCATTTTGAAAAAAAAATTGAAACTAAATTAAATAAAAAAGACACGGACTAAATTAAAATCATGATAATAACACTTGACACTGATATTAACATTGGTACTGGCATGTAACATTGTCTTGTCAAATGACACTAAGAGTGTCACATATCACACCAAAAGCCTCATACACAATAACAAACAATATTTACAAAAAATTAAAAAATTAAAAAATCATAGATTAACATGTGACATGTGGTTAATGTCGTTAGTAACAAACTTAATTAAGACATTTTTTCAAAAATTACAATGCAATTAAAACTTTTTAAAAAATAAAAATCAATTTGAAACTTTCAAACCAAAATAGAGATCAAAAGAGTAATTAATTCACACACTAATTTATTATCACGGTTGATAATACTTGATTAATTTATGCCACACATTAATTTAGTTGTTTAATTTATGGTTGTTAATAATATTTTATTGATTTAGGTCAACTAGATGTTGAACTCTTTATTTCTAGTTGTTAATTATGATTAATTAATTTATGTCAAGGATTAGTTGTTAATCTTTTTTGTTTAATTTATAATTTAAAAGGTAATTGGATGAAACTTAAGCATTGAAACACTTCACAACAAACGAAATTACCAGCGCAAATGTTTGCTTAAATTTTCTTTTGTTGATATTGTCACTTAATGGAAACATTTCATTTAAATATATGTGA